ACATTGAGATATGGCCTAATTAACCAGGGATATTCATATATGAAAACATGGATGGGATGAAGCTCATGAGGTTCGATGATGAAGATATGACCTAGCAAACTTGTTTTGCCATCTCAAGGTTCTTCTTTCTTCGCACCACAAGATGTTGTCTTGCATCCTCCGCTCTTTAATTGTGAAAAAATCTCTTATTTTCACCTAAGAAACCTCAATTAAAGCACCATTAATTTCTAAGTGGTGTTGCCATTTGCCACAAGAAAGGAAACTCCTAACCAAATAAAGATCTATCTCCATCCCTCCTAGGTGGGCAGGACATAGACGCGGGAAGCCTCCTCCAAGAGAGAGACCACCAAGTATTAGCTATAGGAAGAGGTCCTTTTCTGTAAGAAAGATACCTTCTCTTCTAAAAAATTGGGGGGGGAGAGGTTATTACATGATCTTTAGAGACTTTACTTCTATCTAATTTGTAGTATTATTAGCTACTGGAAATGGGAAGAAGAACAAGGGAAAATTGCAAATTTCCATGTAATTTGTCTTGAGAGTACGAGGAAAAGGAGAGGGAGGGGAAAAAAAAATTCCCGTGACCATTTGTAAGCCGTCCTCTTTAAATTTGGAACTCCCGTGACCATTTGTAAGCCGTCCTCTTTCGAATGCGTGAGATTTTGTTAAGATTAGGATATAAATGTTTGATGGATTTTAAAATTAGGATATATATAGAGCAAGAAATTGAAAAGAAATCAAATTTAAATAAGAAAAAATAATATATTTTTTTCTTATTTAAATTTGATTTCTTTACAACCTCTTGCTCTCTTTTTTCACTCGTATCGAAACAACACATAGATTGACAATATGAATCGCTTCACCCCATTCTATTTTCCTTCTCCCTCGGTTTTGTTGAGGAACATAGTCTAAATGACAATAAAAGCAAAACCTTGGATGACTAGGAATTGTGGTTTTGGACAACATATGCCTATACATGGGCATGAAGTAACATGATACGTGTTACACATATATATAGATGCCTAGCTAGTGTTAATTAGGATAACCCACGCTACAAAATTGAGGTGCAAATAAGTCAAAAAGCAGCTAAGATTGGATCTGTGCGTTGGGGCTAGCTCTAACCAGAACCCCATTTCTTCCTTTCTTTCTTTTCCTTTCGTTCTCTTTCCCTTTCCTTTATAATATTTATTTTAGGAATGAGACTTAGCCTAAATAGACATGATATTGGACTTTGGAATAAGATACTATTGTTCTGCAAATGTGGAAGTTTGTCTTCTTCCGGTATTGGGCACTTGAATATATGCTTTTGCAAATGAGGGAATGGTTTCAAGTGAGGAGGGAATGGAGGGAGCCAGCCTTATGATGAAGATGTCAAAAGTTGTACATCTTTTTGAGCTTGGCTCAAAAATGTACGGCACTACCAATTTTTATATTTCTGTACAGAGAGAGATGGAGAAAGAATGATGCCCTTGCCAGTTTGTGAGACTGTTCCAGCATAGCATAAGCCTATGGGCTGAGAGATAGCGAGGAGAGGAGTCATCATTGCTAAAGATCAAAGGCTATAGTTATATTCACTGGCATGGACCACCCCCATGATGCTAAAAGAAGTGTCACCAGTCACACCACCACCCTCCTCTCTCTCTCTCTCCCCCACCGTCTATCAGCAAAATGCCTGCCCGTGGCTGGCCCTTTAGACTCCCAAAATCCCATGGCTAATCATTTGAGATTTATTTTCCTTGAGAAAGCTTTGGATTATATAAAACACATATAAATGGTGAGAAAGGAAGGGTGGCCTTTACAAAAGTTTCCAGCCAGAATCCTATAGATTGGCCATTCATAATTCATATGAAAACGTCTCCCCTTTAGCAAAAAGATTCACGAATTTTTGAAACCACACCACTCCCTTTGTCATGATTCAAAATTTAAACACCAAAGGCGAAAGTGGTGGATGTTGTATAATTGAAGTGAAAAAGATCATGATCTATCAATCAATGTGATGAAAAAAAGATCATTTACTTTTTAGATTTATATCTCCATTTCATGCAACGGATAATGCCCACTTTTGATCATTATAACTGCTCCAGAGGAGTGCCTGCTTTGCTATGCCAACCTTTTTCTCTTATTTTGAGAAATTCGACAATTTGGAACACTATTGAGTATTGACCAGCACTCTGCTGTGCTTCTTCTCTGTAACAAGACGTTCGGCGGGAAAGAAGATTTCTTTGGCACACACCATGGTTTCGCAAAAGCTACATCTACATCTACATCTACATGTTTTAAAAATAATTTGATTTGAATGCCGGACAAAATGGTTACACTTTTTCCTTGAAAAAGCTTAGATACGATAATGGGAGGAAAACGGTGCTTGAATAAACTTACACGCTCAAATCTGATGGTGCAAGTCAATAATCCTTGTAGATACAAAAGTGCTTCTGTGCGGGTATTTTTTAAAATTTATGATATGAACCCAAATCATAAAATTTAAAATAATTTTTTATTTGAAAATATATATTTTTTTAAATTTTTTTTTTAAATTTATGATATGGACCCAAATCATAAAATATATATATATATATATATATTAAAAGAATAATTTAATATTTTTTAAAATAAAAAAAGAAGAAGCTGTATTGAAATAGCATCCCTGGTAGGCAACCAGGGAACAAAATTGGAAGGGCCAATTTGTCATTGACTTGATGCTTGCGATTCCTGTTTGAAATATTGTTTGCATGTTTTCATGGATCTTGACATTCCGTAGAGGAACCAGTCACTGGATTATCTAAACATATTCGGAGCAGCTGAATTGGGAAGACATAAACTATCTCCTAATTATAGAGATTTAAAAATTGCAGGTTTTGTGTAGAAAGTTCATCAACAAGTTGACCTTACGAGGTCCTAAGTTTGTGTTAATTTGCAATCCCTTTGTTATTTTCTTTGAAGTAACATGAAAGCTGTAGAGCACCTATGACTAGCTAGTTCCCACCACACATGTTTTGTTTAGGAGGTGAGTGATAGTTATTATTTTTTAAAATATTTTTTATTTAAAAATATATTAAAATAATATTTTTTATTCTAAAAAATTATTTTTGATTTTATTATATCAAAAAAATATAAAAAATGAAAAAAATTATCTTTAAATTTTACTTTCAAATTTCTAAATAATATAATGTCAATCTCGTTACTAGACATTAAAAGCGAAGTTACAGCTAATATGAGCTAAATATTGTTCTTGTCCACACATGCATTGTCTGCGATACTCACATAATTTGACTTCTTAAAGCTCAAAGGGCACCAACATTTTTAAATGAGAACTTTTGCAAGGTATAATAATCAAATCACTTGGTTCTTTCCAAGGAGGGAAATTTTTTAAAGGCAAAGTAGATCGGTGGGAAAGCGAGGTTTATGTATTTTTTAATTAATGCCCGCCTATAGTTTTTTTTTTTTTTTTTGGCTTCACAGAAGGGCAAGAAAATATCTCCAAGCATTTTATTGCTGTACTAAAAAGGCACTTTTGTCCAGCTCGCACAGTCGGTCTCTACTTGCTGGTGTCCTACAACACCCTTAGTGATTTCTTTAGGGGACCTGACATGACATGTATTATATATGTAAATATCCTTAATTAGAGGCTTAGTTTGGTTTTTTTAATAAAAAAAAGACAACTTGATTTAGCTTTATATTATTATTCATTTTTATAAAAATCACGATATGAAACACGGTCTCCTGATAATAGAGATGACGTGTTTAAGATCTAGACAAGAAAGATTTAATTAAAATGTACGATAACTAATTCTGCAATACTCTTTTATGATATATATATATATATATATATATATATCAAGACTTCAAATTAGCATACAAAGATGAAGGAACATTATGCTAAATCTTTTATTGTGGAAATAAATATAGAGTTAAGGAACGAGCAGAAGCACGTACAAGAAGAGATTAGATTAATCTAAGACAAGATTGCGGCGGCTAACGGTTCCCCAAATCGCGCCACCAATCACTCCGTATACATTATGGACACCACATTGGCAACGAGAGGAATATACTATTTGTTTTTTTTTTTAATTTCAAAAGTAATTTTTTAAAATATTAAAAAAATTATTTTTTATTATAAATTAATATTTGTTTTTAGTGTTTTTAGGTTACTTTAATTTTTTTAAATCAAAAAATTATTTTGAAAATATAAAAAATATTATTTTATATATTTTTAAATAAGTAATTATAGATTGATAGCTATCATTCTGGATGGAACGAAACCAGACAAGACTCCAACCCCATGTGTTGTGTTTTTCTTTTTATTAATTTGCTGGCACTGAACAATGCGTTCTTGTTCATCATTCTTGAGTTATTTCTCGATAACAAGGATTATAAAAGTGATGGAAACGCGAGAAACAAACACTCTCTCTCTCTCTCTCTCTCTCTCACACACACACACACAAATTAAAGTTTATATAAAAAATCATATTAAATCAAATTCAAAATAATAAAATTTAAAAAAATCAAAACAAAATATATTACAATAAAAAATTTGAAGATCAAATTTTATATAATAAATAAATAATATGATAGTTCTAAGTTTTTTAGAAAATATTTTTTGTACAAAATAAAAAAATATTTCTGAAAACTAAATTAATTTTTTTATATAAAATATTTTTCATTAACTTTTCAAATAATAAATAAATATAAAAAAATTAAAAAAAAAATTCCAGAAAAAACTTTCCAGGAAACAACTGTTACTCAATCCTCCTCTCATGCCCTTAATCCTCCTCAATGTTATGGTCAGCTTGAACAAACCAACAAGCCATGTGAAGATCATCCACAAATTAGTCATCACATGTAGCTCAAGCCTCTTCATTCTTTTACTGCAGGCGACAGAATGAATCTCAAATTTGACTTCCTTTAAAGAGAACATATATATATATATATATATAACCACATTCCAATTACTAAGAGAAAAATTGAACTTGGTAAATTAAACTAAAGCATTTTACTATCAAGACTAGGAGAACTAATTAAGAGTGCCATGATCGTTTGTATAGGGATGTACAAGGATCAGGAATTAATACATGGAAAAATGTCAAAAGAACAAAGAAAAGCTATTATTTACATATAACTAGGAGAGATTAAAAGGGAAATAAAATCAAAAAAAGAAAAAAGGTGTCCTAATTAGGTTAACCAAAAGTCATGGTTCAAATGGAGAGAGACAAAAAAATATTCTCTTTCTTTCATGCATCAACATAGATACTCACCGCCATTTAAGCTTTATCGGCCTCTTCATCTTCATTCTTTCTCTCTCTGATTATGATCTCGCTATCATTTACTACTTCTTAATGGTGATCATCATATTCTAATAATAAGATACTTATATTCCTAATCAGAAGAACAAATCCATGATTCCATCATACCTTCACTCCTTGTAGCCACATTCTCTTGCCCCTTATTATCACCACGAAAATCTGATGATGAAGAAGCCAAGAAGTTAACTTTCCCGTTTGTAACACGCTGGGTTGAGTTATTGTAATTTCCGTTAATGGACCTTAGAAGACCTTGTTGTTGTTGTTGATGATGATGGCCACCCTCATTTGAACCAACCCCATCTCCCCAGTTTGCAAGATTGTTGTTGTGATCACTTCTTCTCATTAACGTCGCATCTGCTGATGGTGTCGATGATGATGAGACTATATTTTGAAGCCCTGCAAGGTTTGTGCTAACATGCCCATGGCTCATCCCGAACTCTTCTAAAACACCCATTTTGAGATGTGAATCATTTGATGGGATTTCTAAAGAAGACCCTTGTTGTGCTTTTGTGGTGCCAAGGATACTGGTTGAATTTGGAAGTGGATATTTATGAGGGGCTTGAAGAAGAGGGTGGAAATTGAACATTGGGTTTTGGACGTTGATGTTGAGCAAGTGTTGCGGCTGTTTCAAAAGGCCTAAATCAGAAGGTAGTTGGTAGTTAATGGAAGTTGAGGGGATATTAGAAGTAGTACTACTATTAGTACAAGCACCGGAATTATTGATGTTAGCTGTAGCAGTGGAGGCTATAGCATCAACCATAGAAGAAGTAGAAAATGATGATGCAGTAGAGCCTGAAGAGGCAAATGGCGGTGCTGCTGGTGGAGGTGGCTGGAATCTTTGAGCAAACGGTCTTAAAAGGTAAGGAGGCGGTGAAGGGTCCAAATGGTGAGAGACAGCTGTTCTCAAAGTGGAGGCTGCAGTTCCAAATAGATCAAGCCTGCTTCTTGGGAAAGGTGAGGATGTGAAGGGTGGTGCAGGGATCCCTGTAAACTCCTGAACCATGGCTCTGAAATTGGTGGTGTCCGTGCTCAAGACAGTTGTAGGTGCACGCCTAGAAGCTCTTGATCTTTTCTTCGGGTTTCTAACCCCTGCAGTGTTACTGACTTGATCATTTGTCCCTGAAACCGAAACTGAACCTCTTGTAGCACTTTCTTGTCCGTGTGGTGGTAGAGACTGAAAAGTGGTTCTCGTTTGAGTTTGGTTGGTAAACAACTGTTGGGTTGGTGAGGAAGACGAAATGAAGCCACCAAGATCAGTGCAATTGGGTTCAGATCTTAAGTTCTTAGACCAAACCATATCAAGATTGAGGAGTGAATTTGGGTTCGTGTAAGGAGGTGGTGATGATCTTGACGGTGCTGATGATAAAGGATCAAAATAGTTTGATATAGGGTCAAACAACAACGTTGATGATGAAGAAGAGTGGTGGGTTTGGTGGTGGTGCTGGTGTTCTGGTTGTGGTGGTGGGTTACTAGACATGGGACCAACATGGCTTAATGGGTTGTTATTGTTGTTCAAGAAAGCTGAGATTGACTCAGCGCGTGAATCATACTCTTCATCTCCACCACTGGAGGATTGCATACTTCCACTATTGCCAGAATCCATTTTTCTTCAAGAAAAAGAGAGATAAACTAAAAGGGAAAGACGTAAAAGAAGACAGAGATATGGAGAGAGAGAGAGAGAGAGAGAGATGTATCTACATATGCAGTGAGATTTTCGCGTGCTTACTTATTGACTTACCCACACAGACTCGATCAGGCTCATTTAAGAAGGGAGGGAGAAGCTACAAAACAAAGCATGTGGTAATATAAAGAAAGAAAGAGAAAAGTCTTCTGGAAGATAAATCAAGAAGAGCTATTCTCTGAAAAAGTACCCCAAGTTGTCTTTAAAGCTCTGATCTACAAAGAAGACAGCGTTTGGCTTGCTTTTACTTAGTCTTTGGACAAAAGGGTTTATTATGGTGTAAAGAATGGAATAAGCAGCCCAGGATCATGAAATTGATAGTTCCATCAGGGAAGAAAGAGATAGAGATGAATGGAAGCTAACTCTCTTTGGTTGTTTTCTGTTTCCCTTTTGTTTTTAAGCCTAATATGGGGGTACTGAGGTGAATTAGGGTTTTCTTCAAGAGACAGAAAGACAAAGAGGGGTGGTTCTCCAGCCTTTTCTTCTCTCAAACAGAGGCTGCTTCTGCTCGCAGTTTCTCTCAAAAGATCAGGGTGGGGTAGCCGAGAGGGAGGGGGGTGATAGGAGAGGCAAGGCAACTGGTCAAAGTATGTAGGAGGTGTGGTTTTGATTCAGTGTGAAAAGAAGAAAAAGATAAGAGGCGAAGGAGAGCTGTTAAAATATACTACCACCGTAGTACTAGAGAGATAAAAGTCACTACATTTAAGTATGGTATATATTACCATGTTTTTTTGTTTTTTTTATTTTATTTTTTAATTATTTTGATGTGTTAAGATTAAAAACAAATTATAAAAAAATATACTATTTTAATATATTTTTAAATAAAAATATTTTAAAAAATAACTAGTCCTGCTAACACAGTACTGCTACTGGATAGAAAGTATTAAAATTGTCTTCATCCACTGATTGAAAATGCACTGATTAAAATTATTTATGTGCATAGAATAATGTGACGGGCAAGCAACCAAATTAGGAAAAATGGTAGTTGAATGGTATAAAAAGAGGTATAACAACCATCACCAATATTGACCACTATTTACTTTTGAAAAGATTTATATATTAAAAAAAATAGAAAATGAAGTGTCTCGTGTAGTTTGGACTCCAATCTGGAAATCTAACATTATCTAGATTTTGTCCCATGTTTTCGAGGAAGGTTAGGTTTAACGATAGACATAGCAAGAATCATTCATGTCGATGTTTTATATATATATAGAGCTTAATTAGGCTAGTTAATTGTAATTCTGGCGACAGCCCTTGACTAAGTCAGGAATCCTGTGATAAAATATCAGGAAAAGAAGATTATGTTATTTGTGAGTTATAATTGAGGAACCTCAGAGAATCTTTCACAGTGTTTTTCTCTGCTGAGGCGTATATTAGCGAAGATCAAGATTCTTAACAGGTACGTGATTAATGTAAGAAATAATTCAGATTAATTTTACATGATTGGAAGAGAGAAGAAAAAATATCAAATCTGTGGATGGATGGATCTGCTCACCAACACCCTGAGTTTGCTGCAACCATCAAAACCAAAGAGAAGCTATGTATAAATAATATTGTTACTGTTTAATTATATCCTTAATTTAGAATATTTAGTGATATTATTTATATAGCTTATTATTAAATAATTACACACACTTGGTAATTTCTGAGACGTCTTCATCATTGTACGTGGTTTGATATGATATATCTCTTGTCAATGATCTGTTTTTGCCGCTACAATAACCAAACCCTAATCCTGAAGACCGGAATTTCAAATCCATACGTAAGGCTAGCTAAAGCAGCCTGTAATTACTGATTCTATGCGATGCTTTAGTTATTAATTCCCAACTATAAAATATATATCTACCAGTTCTCTGGGACTTCTTTTTGCAGTTCTTGACAGGTACACCTTACAACCTATCGATCCTTTTTTCTCAACGAACAAACAAATAAAAAAAGAAACTCTCTAATCTGGTTTAGGGCGAAATCAAATTTGTTTTTTTAAAATGGGCCAAATCGAATTAAAAAAAAACAAAATAATATCACTCCTTGCAAGAACCATCATATTTTGCTTAGAAACAACTAATTATAACAATACAGATAATATCAAGGACATATTTTTCATAAAAACTCAAAACCAGGCTCGAAGATAATCTTATGATTGTTAGTTGAAGCCTCCCATCACTTCAAAAGTTGTTTATTATGAACCTTTTTTTCGTTTAAGAAATAAACAGAAATAGTGTTTGAAAAAAATGAAGTAGGTGCTGGCATTTCTATGATTTAAGTGGCACTAATTTTTTTTGGCCCAAAGATTTTTAATTAATAGGTGATGGTGTGAAAAAGAGAGAGAGAGAGACAACAAAAGTTTAACTGAATTTTCACTTCAAAGATGAGTTGATTGCCCTTATTACAACAAAAGCGTGAATTTCTTTTCTGTATTTTGGCTGTTTACTGATTTTTATTTTTATTTTTAACGTAGTTCTTATGTTATATGTTATATGCTTATTGCAACTTTAAAAAAATATTTTGACACTGAATTTATATTAAAAAAATATTTTAGTATCACAACATCATCTATTTTATTTAATATTTATTGAAATAAATAATTTAAAAAAAAAATTAATTTATTAAACTTTATACAGTTAAAACTTCGTATTACAAGTATGGTAAAGTAATCCAAGTTGCACTGGTTCATAGGTTTGGTAAATATATATATATATATATTTTCTAATTAAACTTGATTTTGTGATTGTTAAAATATTAATTTAAAAAAAAATTATATTATTAAACTTTAGAAAATCCATAGACTTGTTCATGGGTTGATTCGCTTTAAGAATTTGGTAAATTTAAATTTTTTATATTTTATTTTTTTTATTTCTTCATTCATAATAAGGTTTGTTGAGAATTGAGTTTTATAATTGTTTTTATTTCACTTTCTATAAGATTATCACCATCTAAAAAACATCTCGGTATTTGGTTGATGCTTGATTTTGTAATTGTCTAGTTTTTTATTAAATAGTTGAATAAAAAATGATTTTGAAAAAAACAAGTTATTACTCTTAGTAGAGTTTGTGACCTGGTTCACGTGTTTTATGTATTTACCTGAATCATGAATTTGAAAAGTTTATCCACCAAACCTAATATATATTTTTAGTTTTTGGCTCTTTATTAATTTTTTTAATTGATTTTTTTATTTAATCCTTTAATATTAGATTGGTTGGGAGATCAATTTTTTGATTTATTTCTATTTGTTTTATATATGGTTATCACACTCTCAAATAAATGTCAATTCTATTTTAGAGTTGGTGCCCGATTTCACAAGTATATATTTTTATCATATAATTAAATAAAAATATTATTAAAAAAATTATTACACTTAGTAAAGTCTGTGACTCAAGTTGAGAAGTGACCAGGGTTGATCCAATTTGACGCCGTCTTAATATTTGAAATAACGTTGTTGTCTTGAGGGTTTTTTTTTTAAATTAAAACATGTTTTTATTAGTCATTCATATTACATTTGAACCCCTAAAATCAATTGATTTTGGATAAACTCCTAATCGGTTTAAGTTAAGTGATAACTTGAGTTAGGCAAGAAATTAGATCATGAGTTCTTAAAATTAATCCACTTGGCAGGATTTAATGACACCACCAAAATATTCCCCCGCATCCTTGGTATTTTTTTTATGTTTAAAAAAAATAGGAAAAGCATGCTATAATTTTGTTGGAATTGTACTTGCCTATCAACTTTTAAAACACAACAATTTACATCCTTGGTGGATGTAAAATGAACTAAATTATAAGATAATTTATGATAAAAATTAATACACACACAACAAAGCTCAAGTTATAAAGTGTAGTATTTTAAAATTCAGTAAGGAAGTGCGATTTTATCTAAACTATAAGATGATAGAAGTAATTTTTTCAGAAATAATTGATTCAACCTCAAGCAAAACAAACGCTTATGAATGGACTAGTTTTCTCATAAAAGAAAATGAGGTAATCAAATTAGTTATGCTTATTTCATATGGACATTAATATGTTTATGAACCTTGGATTTGTAAGGAAAATGATGTCAAATTTATATAAAATATATATAGCAAAACAAATTTTTAATATATATTTTATATAAATATAAAATAAGATTTTAACTAAACTATAAGATGACGAAAGTAATTTTTCTAAAACAAATTGATTTGACCCCAGGTGAAGCACTCATGAATGGACTAGTTTTCTCATAAAAGAAAATAAGATAATCAAACTAGTAATGCTTATTTCATATGAAAATCAATATGTTCATGAAGGTTGGATTTGTAAGGCAAATGATGTTAAATTTATATAAATTATATATCAAAACAAATTGAAAGAAAAAAAATTTCAAATTAAAATTCTATTAATCAATTGATAAATTTTTATAAAGTTAATTAATAAAAATTGAAACAGAAAAAATGGCTTAAGAGGTTCCACCAATTTGATTTTGATTTCTAAATATCTATATTCCGATATTTTAATTTGACTGATAAATTAGAGGCCATGCTTTAGAAATTTGAACCATAAACGCCTTACATGCTGCCACTCCCTCAACTTAAAAATTATGAAAATACTTTTTTAGTAACATAACATCTCGTGCTTTTTAAGCATGCAAGACATCTTAACTTCCATTAAAACATTATACTTAAAATAATACTATGTTAAAACAAAATACCTTGAATTATAAATTAATTAAATCAAATATAAATCATTTCAAACCAAATAACTTGACTTCAAAGTTATACACACACACTACAAGTCTAAGATCATAAATTGATCTAATTATTAAAATAGTAAAGTTTAGAAATCAATTATAAACTTATGAAACAACCATTTGATATTCTAGACCTCTTCCAAATGATCTAAATAAATAAATAAATTCTAGACCTCTTCCAAATGATCTAAAAAAATAAATAACCAAGAGGTGAGTGTCACACACTCAATAAATAATAGTTAATCTCTTTACCTTGACTAAAACATACTAATAATATATATATATATATAGCTAAAAATTAGTTTATTTATTATACTAAAATACACACACACTACAAGTCTAAGATCATAAATTGATCTAATTATTAAAATAGTAAAGTTTAGAAATCAATTATAAACTTATGAAACAACAATTTGATATTCTAAACCTCTTCCAAATTATCTAAAAAAATAAATAACCAAGAGGTGTGTGTCACGCGCTCAATAAATAATAGTTAGTCCCTAATATATATATATATATATATATATATAGCTAAAAATTAGTTCATTTTCTGTACTAAAATATTAATATTTTCAAAGATTTAAAAGAAAAAAATTATATTTATAAATCATTCAAAAACTTAAATAATGTAAATTAGTCATTTTAAACATAAATGTTATTTGCACACTCATGTTCAAAGTTATATTTAAAAGTTAAAAGACTACATTTACACCAATCATGGTAAAAATACATTATAATGACTGGATATTAAATTTTAAATAAGCATATTTATAAGTGTCAATTTTTAACTTTGAAAATCCAAGTCTAAAGCATCAGCAATCAAATTTATATTCAATCCATAAATGAGTTCACAAAAACAAAACATATTCAAAACACTTAACATTATTTACAGATAATTTATC